CAGCGAGTGGGAACAGCCGCCGCCAGCGGACATTTCTAGCCAAAGGAGATCTGTTAACTGCCAACTTTGGAAATAAGTGTTGTGTTAAGAATCATGGCTGCTGTTGGTCAGTACTCAATGCCATGTCTACATTCATCCTCTCGGAGTACTTACAAAGAGATGTGCTTTCAAAACCACGACAACCTACACGGGAAGTAGAGGTAAATATCCCTTGCAAAACAAAGTAATGAGCGTTGTCACGAAGAGGATACTTCGGTTACGTTAATGTCAATTTATTGATATTTTACACTGGTGCCGTATGAGACTTTTTGACTTTTCTGCTCCAAAAAATGGTAACTTTGTCTCCTTTTGTGTACTTCTAGCACTTATAGATACCTCCTTGCCTTGGTACCGAAAGTTTCCTTTTATTTTTAGATTGATGAATTATCAGCCTGTCTCGGATCCAGCACTCTGTCTATTCTCAGGGATGCAAGAAAACCTATTGCGGAGGTAGTGTTTCGTATTGAAGACATTTTCCCTTTCATTAATCTCCCCTTCACTTTATTATCTGTAGGTTTTAGTGAGGCATCTAGATCCAACTGTTTCGCAGGCCTTTGACATAGTTGCTCGCATCTTCCAAGTCGAGAAACGACTGGCTGTACGGGTACGTCTCTTTTGCAGTGGTACGCCCTATGTTGGCCCCCCTGTGAAAATTCAGTAGCCTTCTTTCACTTCTCTACAGGAGCTAATGTCCGCAACCTTCACCTACTTGGTCGTCAGGGGTACCCAGGAAAGTCATTTACGAATTCGCCAGCTAGTCGAACTTGGCACTTGGCTTTCTAGTTGTCAGGTCTGTTTCCCATACTCCCACTTACTATAATCTTGTGCTATTTGCCTGCTACCAATTCGTTTTACATAACCTTCATAGAGCTCGGCACTTTCCTGTAGCTCTGGAACAGTGTGTCGAACTTAGAATTTTGGAGGTTGTAGTACAGGAGTTTCTCCCCCGTTTTAGGACTACGTCACCAGGATCACACAACTGTGCATCCTTCCGGACACCCTGGTCCACGTGTTCACTCAGCTTTCTGACGAGAAGCAGGCCGCTGCCTTAAAGTTTCTTGAAGTACGCCGTCCATCTGTCCTTTCGTTTGTTGCTCTCCCTCTTCCTATAATCTTCACTCATTACTTTCACTTCCACATGCCTTGCTTGTCTGCATTTGCGCTCACCTGGGCAATCGTGTTACTCTTCCTTCCTGTCGTTCGATCTTCAGTCTCATCTGGGCTTACCGATTGAGGGAGTTGCAAGGATGAATGACGTCTCTCGCCTCCTTCATCAGTTTGTACTCTGTCTTTACCCGCATCGAAGAGAGGCCTGTGCGGGTCTGCGTTGGCTGGTGAGCAAGGTAGTTCATCCCATGAAGCCAATCTACGGCCTCCTGGCGCTTCGTGCTGCCGAAGGGCACGCTGAGGCTGCCGTAAGCGACGTCACCACCATGGGATTGGTAAGTTGACACATGGTTTGCCTGAATACGTTTTCATTAGCAAGATAAACTATTTATCGATGTT